GATGTGTCACTGTCAGGAGCCTTGTGTCATGAAACACAGGGATGTGTCACTGTCAGGGGTCTTGTGTCATGAAACACAGGGATGTGTCACTGTCAGGAGTCTTGTGTCATGAAACACAGGGATGTGTCACTGTCAGGGGTCTTGTGTCATAAAACACAGGGATGTGTCACTGTCAGGGGTCTTGTGTCATGAAACACAGGGATGTGTTACTGTCAGGAGTCTCATGTCATGAAACACAGGGATGTGTCACTGTCAGGGGTCTTGTGTCATGAAACACAGGGATGTGTCACTGTCAGGGGTCTTGTGTCATGAAACAGGGATGTGTCACTGTCAGGGGTCTCATGTCATGAAACACAGGGATGTGTCACTGTCAGGGGTCTTGTGTCATGAAACACAGGGATGTGTCACTGTCAGGGGTCTTGTGTCATGAAACACAGGGATGTGTCACTGTCAGGAGTCTCATGTCATGAAACACAGGGATGTGTCACTGTCAGGGGTCTTGTGTCATGAAACATAGGGATGTGTCACTGTCAGGGGTCTTGTGTCATGAAACACAGGGATGTGTCACTGTCAGTAGTCTCATGTCATGAAACACAGGGATGTGTCACTGTCAGGGGTCTTGTGTCATGAAACACAGGGATGTGTCACTGTCAGGGGTCTTGTGTCATGAAACACAGGGATGTGTCACTGTCAGGAGTCTTGTGTTATGAAACACAGGGATGTGTCACTGTCAGGAGTCTTGTGTCATGAAACACAGGGATGTGTCACTGTCAGGGGTCTTGTGTCATGAAACACAGGGATGTGTCACTGTCAGGAGTCTCATGTCATGAAACACAGGGATGTGTCACTGTCAGGGGTCTTGTGTCATGAAACATAGGGATGTGTCACTGTCAGGGGTCTCATGTCATAAATTACAGGGATGTGTCACTGTCAGGGGTCTTGTGTCATGAAACACAGGGATGTGTCACAGTCAGGGGTCTTGTGTCATAAAACAAAGGGATATGTCACTGTCAGTAGTCTCATGTCATGAAACACAGGGATGTGTCACTGTCAGGGGTCTTGTGTCATGAAACACAGGGATGTGTCAGTGTCAGGGGTCTTGTGTCATAAAACACAGGGATGTGTCACTGTCAGTAGTCTCATGTCATGAAACACAGGGATGTGTCACTGTCAGGGGTCTTGTGTCATGAAACACAGGGATGTGTCACTCTCAGGGGCCTTGTGTCATGAAACACAGGGATGTGTCACTGTCAGGGGTCTTGTGTCATGAAACACAGGGATGTGTCACTGTCAGTAGTCTCGTGTCATGAAACACAGGGATGTGTCACTGTCAGGGGTCTCATGTCATGAAACACAGGGATGTGTCACTGTGAGGAGTCTCATGTCATGAAACACAGGGATGTGTCACTGTCAGGGGTCTCATGTCATGAAACACAGGAATGTGTCACTGTCAGGGGTCTCATGTCATGAAACACAGGGATGTGTCACTGTCAGGGGTCTTGTGTCATAAAACACAGGGATGTGTCACTGTCAGGGGTCTTGTGTCATGAAACACAGGGATGTGTCACTGTCAGTAGTCTCATGTCATGAAACACTGGGATGTGTCACTGTCAGGGGTCTCATGTCATGAAACACAGGGATGTGTCACTGTCAGGGGTCTTGTGTCATGAAACACAGGGATGTGTCACTGTCAGGGGTCTTGTGTCATGAAAGAGGGATGTGTCACTGTCAGGGGTCTCATGTCATGAATCACAGGAATGTGTCACTGTCAGGGGTCTCATGTCATGAAACACAGGGATGTGTCACTGTCAGGGGTCTTGTGTCATGAAACACAGGGATGTGTCACTGTCAGGGGTCTTGTGTCATGAAACAGGGATGTGTCACTGTCAGGGGTCTTGTGTCATAAAACACAGGGATGTGTCACTGTCAGGGGTCTCATGTCATGAAACACAGGGATGTGTCACTGTCAGGGGTCTTGTGTCATGAAACACAGGGATGTGTCACTGTCAGGAGTCTTGTGTTATGAAACAAAGGGATGTGTCACTGTCAGGGGTCTTGTGTCATGAAACACAGGGATGTGTCACTGTCAGGGGTCTTGTGTCATGAAACACAGGGATGTGTCACTGTCAGGAGTCTTGTGTTATGAAACAAAGGGATGTGTCACTGTCAGGGGTCTTGTGTCATGAAACACAGGGATGTGTCACTGTCAGGGGTCTTGTGTCATGAAACACAGGGATGTGTCACTGTCAGGAGTCTCATGTCATGAAACAAAGGGATGTGTCACTGTCAGGAGTCTTGTGTTATGAAACACAGGGATGTGTCACTGTCAGGGGTCTTATGTCATGAAACACAGGGATGTGTCACTGTCAGGGGTCTTGTGTCATGAAACACAGGGATGTGTCACTGTCAGGAGTCTCATGTCATGAAACACAGGGATGTGTCACTGTCAGGGGTCTTGTGTCATGAAACACAGGGATGTGTCACTGTCAGGGGTCTCATGTCATAAATTACAGGGATGTGTCACTGTCAGGGGTCTTGTGTCATGAAACACAGGGATGTGTCACAGTCAGGGGTCTTGTGTCATAAAACAAAGGGATATGTCACTGTCAGTAGTCTCATGTCATGAAACACAGGGATGTGTCACTGTCAGGGGTCTTGTGTCATGAAACACAGGGATGTGTCACTGTCAGGAGTCTCATGTCATGAAACACAGGGATGTGTCACTGTCAGGGGTCTTGTGTCATGAAACACAGGGATGTGTCACTGTCAGGAGTCTCATGTCATGAAACACAGGGATGTGTCACTGTCAGGGGTCTTGTGTCATGAAACACAGGGATGTGTCACTGTCAGGAGTCTTGTGTCATGAAACACAGGGATGTGTCACTGTCAGGGGTCTTGTGTCATGAAACACAGGGATGTGTCACTGTCAGGGGTCTTGTGTCATAAAACACAGGGATGTGTCACTGTCAGTAGTCTCATGTCATGAAACACAGGGATGTGTCACTGTCAGGGGTCTTGTGTCATGAAACACAGGGATGTGTCACTGTCAGGGGCCTTGTGTCATGAAACACAGGGATGTGTCACTGTCAGGGGTCTTGTGTCATGAAACACAGGGATGTGTCACTGTCAGTAGTCTCATGTCATGAAACACAGGGATGTGTCACTGTCAGGGGTCTCATGTCATGAAACACAGGGATGTGTCACTGTGAGGAGTCTCATGTCATGAAACACAGGGATGTGTCACTGTCAGGGGTCTCATGTCATGAAACACAGGAATGTGTCACTGTCAGGGGTCTCATGTCATGAAACACAGGGATGTGTCACTGTCAGGGGTCTTGTGTCATGAAACACAGGGATGTGTCACTGTCAGGAGTCTCATGTCATGAAACACAGGAATGTGTCACTGTCAGGGGTCTCATGTCATGAAACACAGGGATGTGTCACTGTCAGGGGTCTTGTGTCATGAAACACAGGGATGTGTCACTGTCAGGGGTCTTGTGTTATGAAACACAGGGATGTGTCACTGTCAGGGGTCTCATGTCATGAAACACAGGGATGTGTCACTGTCAGGGGTCTTGTGTCATGAAACACAGGGATGTGTCACTGTCAGTAGTCTCATGTCATGAAACACAGGGATGTGTCACTGTCAGGGGTGTCATGTCATGAAACACAGGGATGTGTCACTGTCAGGGGTCTTGTGTCATGAAACACAGGGATGTGTCACTGTCAGGGGTCTTGTGTCATGAAACACAGGGATGTGTCACTGTCAGGGGTCTCATGTCATGAAACACAGGGATGTGTCACTGTCAGGGGTCTTGTGTCATGAAACACAGGGATGTGTCACTGTCAGGGGTCTTGTGTCATGAAACAGGGATGTGTCACTGTCAGTAGTCTCATGTCATGAAACACAGGGATGTGTCACTGTCAGGGGTCTTGTGTCATGAAACAGGAATGTGTCACTGTCAATAGTCTTGTGTCATCAAACACAGGGATGTGTCACTGTCAGTGGTCTCATGTCATGAAACACAGGGATGTGTCACTGTCAGGGGTCTCATGTCATGAAACACAGGGATGTGTCACTGTCAGGGATCTTGTGTCATGAAACACAGGGATGTGTCACTGTCAGGGGTCTCATTTCATAAAACACAGGGATGTGTCACTGTCAGTAGTCTCATTTCATAAAACACAGGGATGTGTCACTGTCAGGGGTCTCATGTCATGAAACACAGGGATGTGTCACTGTCAGGGGTCTCATGTCATGAAACACAGGGATGTGTCACTGTCAGGGGTCTTGTGTCATGAAACAAAGGGATGTGTCACTGTCAGTAGTCTCATGTCATGAAACACAGGGATGTGTCACTGTCAGGGGTCTCATTTCATGAAACACAGGGATGTGTCACTGTCAGGGGTCTCATGTCATGAAACACAGGGATGTGTCACTGTCAGGGGTCTTGTGTCATGAAACAAAGGGATGTGTCACTGTCAGTAGTCTCATGTCATGAAACACAGGGATGTGTCACTGTCAGGGGTCTTGTGTCATGAAACACAGGGATGTGTCACTGTCAGTAGTCTCATGTCATGAAACACAGGGATGTGTCACGGTCAGTAGTCTCATGTCATGAAACAGGGATGTGTCACTGTCAGGAGTCTTGTGTCATGAAACACAGGGATGTGTCACGGTCAGTAGTCTCATGTCATGAAACACAGGGATGTGTCACTGTCAGGGGTCTTGTGTCATGAAACACAGGGATGTGTCACGGTCAGTAGTCTCATGTCATGAAACAGGGATGTGTCACTGTCAGGAGTCTTGTGTCATGAAACACAGGGATGTGTCACGGTCAGTAGTCTCATGTCATGAAACACAGGGATGTGTCACTGTCAGGGGTCTTGTGTCATGAAACACAGGGATGTGTCACGGTCAGTAGTCTCATGTCATGAAACAGGGATGTGTCTAGACCTGCTCAGAGGTCGATATTCAGCACCAAGTCTGCATCAAATGTTGGTAAAAATTCCCAAGTGGGCAATAAAACATGATGGCTTGGACTTGGTTTTCATTGGTAACAGGACCATTAAAGAGGAAGAGGCTTAAATGCTTTACTTCACATTATTGCATTGAAATACAATGCTAAAATACCACTGAAATCAAATGAAAATAAACTTTAAAAAATCAGTTTACGGTCATCAGTTTGTCCCTGATTTGGAAGTCGGGATGTGATATAGGAGTAATATGATAATTTATGCTATTACTGGAGTGAGTGAGTATGGTTTTGCACCGCTTTTAGCAATATTCCAGCAATATCACGGCAGGGGACACGAGAAATGGCCTTCACACATTGTACCCACGTCGGGAATCAAACCCGGGTCTTCGTCGTGACAAAGAGAACGCTTTAATCACTAGGCTACCCGATCGCCCCTGCTATTACTGCAACATTTAGACATACATATCATGAACATTGTACCTCTGCTGAGACCGGTGCCACTCACCTCATGAGCTGCTGAGACCTGTGACACTCACCTCATGAGCTGCTGAGACCCGTGACACTCACCTCATGAGCTGCTGAGAACCGTGCCACTCACCTCATGAGCTGCTGAGACCTGTGACACTCACCTCATGAGCTGCTGAGACCCGTGACACTCACCTCATGAGCTGCTGAGACCTGTGATGCTCACCTCATGAGCTGCTGAGACCTGTGACACTCACCTCATGAGCTGCTGAGACCTGTGCCACTCACCTCATGAGCTGCTGAGACCTGTGCCACTCACCTCATGAGCTGCTGAGACCCGTGCCACTCACCTCATGAGCTGCTGAGGCCTGTGACACTCACCTCATGAGCTGCTGACACCTGTGACACTTACATCGTGAGCTGCTGGGACCTGTGACTCACCTCATGAGCTCGGCCGTTGTTTGACAGGGACTGTATGACAGCAATGACAGTATGGCTCTCATCCCATGAACCCTGATGCTGGGAGTGGTAGACTTAATGCAAGTCTGTACAATGTCCGACACGTACGGCACCTGCAATCAGGGCAACCATGCTGTCAGCAACACAATACAAAGTAATCTAGAACAATACAAATTTTGTTCCTAATATATTATAGCAATGATATGTAAAGACAAAAAAGTAAGAATCTGTTTATCACAGTGTTGTCATGGACATGAGGTAGTATGATAATGAGGTCTGAAGAAGCTATTGTCATACTGTACCAGTCTATCTGAGTTTTGCTTGAACTTGGAGAAGTTGGCGATGGCACGGCTGAGTTGTATCTTGAGATCACAATTGCTGGGGGAGTTCTGTAGGAGTTGGCACACTCGCACCATCACGCTCTGCAGGCTGCTCTGTAGGGAGAAACAAACTCCACTCATTCTTCCTAACACACTGACACATGACTATAGATCTGAAGGGTGCTCTGTAGGGAGAAACAAACTCCACTCATTCTCCCTGACATACTGACACATGACTATAGATCTGCAGGCTGCTCTGTAATGAGAAAGAAACTCATCATTCTCCCTAACATACTGACACATGGCTATAGATCTGAAGGGTGCTCTGTAGGGAGAAACAAACTCCACTCATTCTCCCTAACATACTGACACATGACTATAGATCTGAAGGGTGCTCTGTAGGGGGAAACAAACTCCACTCATTCTCCCTAACACACTGACACATGACTATAGATCTGAAGGATGCTCTGTAGGGAGAAACAAACTCCACTCATTCTCCCTGACATACTGACACATGACTATAGATCTGCAGGCTGCTCTGTAGGGAGAAAGAAACTCCTCATTCTCCCTAACATACTGACACATGACTATAGATCTGAAGGGTGCTCTGTAGGGAGAAACAAACTCCACTCATTCTCCCTGACATACTGACACATGACTATAGATCTGAAGGGTGCTCTGTAGGGAGAAACAAACTCCACTCATTCTCCCTGACATACTGACACATGACTATAGATCTGAAGGGTGCTCTGTAGGGAGAAACAAACTCCACTCATTCTCCCTAACACACTGACACATGACTATAGATCTGAAGGGTGCTCTGTAGGGAGAAACAAACTCCACTCATTCTCCCTGACATACTGACACATGACTATAGATCTGAAGGGTGCTCTGTAGGGAGAAACAAACTCCACTCATTCTCCCTAACACACTGACACATGACTATAGATCTGAAGGGTGCTCTGTAGGGAGAAACAAACTCCTCATTCTCCCTGACATACTGACACATGACTATAGATCTGAAGGGTGCTCTGTAGGGAGAAACAAACTCCACTCATTCTCCCTGACATACTGACACATGACTATAGATCTGAAGGGTGCCGGGCATGGTTGATATCCTTGTTGGATATACTGGAGTACTTCAGCCAGGGGGATAGAACCAACATTTCTTGAATGTCTTGATTTTGTGATGAGATTTAAAATCTTGCCAACATACTACTTATTCGAAAACGTGATTCACAACAGAATATCCTCTACAATGATAACCAATGGCTACACACCTGGTCCTCAGCGCTTGTGGCCAGGTTTCCTATGAGACACACAGCGTTACAGAGAATCTGCTCATTCTGTGGGTGACTGCTCAGGGCCTTATGGAGACTGCATCCTGAACTGAAATCCTCCTGGAAATAAAGTTTGTCATCATCGATGAGTCTACAAAATATGGAAATGCTTCTTGGGTGTTGGCACATCACTTTAAATCCTGCAGATCAGTCATATTTCATGGGAGGCATTGTATAAAAGAGCCGAGTTCACTGTGTGCCCAGTTCACTGTGTGCCAAGTTCACTGTGTGCCAAGTTGCAATTACTGATGTGTGACTCATCTGTAAGAAAAAACTCACACTTTCTCTTCAATTTGCCTCTAATAAAACCATGACCGAAACAGTTATTCTGCACAGCGTTTGGCTTGTCTGCTTCGCTGTTCGGAGCTCCATTGTTTTGGTTTGAGAATTGAATTATAACTAAAGGTTTAAGTCACACTCGAAAATTATTTCAAGCATGCTTCAGAAACACCCAGAAAGGTTGACGTACTGGCCCTTCAAACATGGTTGCCATGGAAGCGACCCATGAAGATCCGGACCATGACCTACCTGTACAATGTGACCATGACCTACCTGTACAATGTGACCATGACCTACCTGTACAATGTGACCATGACCTACCTATACAATGTGACCATGACCTACGTGCACAGTGTCATGATAACCCACATGTACAGTGTCCTGATAATCCACATGTACAGTGTCCTGATAATCCACATGTACAGTGTCCTGATAATCCACATGTACAGTGTCATGATAATCCACATGTACAGTGTCATGATAACCCACATGTACAGTGTCATGATAACCCACTCACTTGTAGAAAGTCATTATGACCTACCTATACAATGGCATGCTGACCCACCTTTAGAGTGTCATGATGACCTAACTGCACAATATGACAACGACGTACCTGTACAATGTGACCATGGCCTACCTGTACAATGTGACCATGACTTACCTGTACAATGTGACCATGACCTACCTGCACAATGTGACCATGGCCGACCTGTACAATGTGACCATGACCTACCTGTACAATGTGACCATGACCTACCTGTACAATGTGACCATGACCTACATGCACAATGTGACCATGACCTACATGCACAATGTGACCATGGCCGACCTGTACAATGTGACCATGACCTACCTGTACAATGTGACCATGGCCTACCTGTACAATGTGATCATGACCTTCATGTACAATGTGACTATGGCCCACCTGTACAATGTGACCATGACCTACCTGTACAATGTGACTATGGCCCACCTGTACAATGTGACCATGACCTACCAGTACAATGAGACCATGACCTACCTGTACAATGTGACTATGGCCCACCTGTACAATGTGACCATGACCTACCAGTACAATGTGACCATGGCCTACCTGTACAATGTGAACATGACCTTCATGTACAATGTGACTATGGCCCACCTGTACAATGTGACCATGACCTACCTGTACAATGTGACTATGGCCCACCTGTACAATGTGACCATGACCTACCTGTACAGTATTACCATGACCTACCTGTACAATGTGACCATGGCCCACCTGTACAATGTGACCATGGCCCACCTGTACAACATGACCATGACCTACCTGTACAATGTGACCATGGCCCACCTGTACAAAATGACCATGACCTACCAGTACAATGAGACCATGACCTACCTGTACAATGTGACCATGACCCACCTGTACAATGTGACCATGACCTACCAGTACAATGAGACCATGACCTACCAGTACAATGAGACCATGACCTACCAGTACAATGAGACCATGACCTACCAGTACAATGAGACCATGACCTACCTGTACAATGCGATGTCGGTGCCAGTCGGTGCCGTTGGAGAGATGTGCCAGTATTTTCAGGGCGACCTCCTGAGTCTGTAACACCAAGAAATATATAGCCCGTCACTCCTTCCGTTTTTTTATATTTTATTTCATGACAGCTTCAAAGGACAAAAAGATCTACAAGCCTGGCCAAGTTTTTCTTTTTATGGTTTGCTGATTATTTACTCACAGAATAATTCATGTGGGATTTGTATTCTTTAATGTATCTGAATTGTTATTGTTATTGTCAGTGAGCTCCCTCACTCACTCAGATGGTGGCACACCAGGAACATGTCTGCACGTATCCTTATTCTGAATGTTGCTAAAAACACCAATATCCTATATGGATGAAGAGGAGGTGCAGTGGTATTGGCGCTTGTACATGGCCACATAACATCACTGTTGGGAGATACATATCTGGACTCCCTTAAGATAGGCATAGTTAAAATATTTTATCTTATATCAAGTCTGACAACATGCTGATATGAAGAGTATGATAACATAAGTAGAGCTGGTTGTGAGGGTTCTGATTGGTAGTCAGTCACTCTTTGCAGCTGTCCGATGTAGGTGAATGTCAGTCATAACAAAATGTATCATTGTTGTTAGATGTTTTGACATGATACTCCATTTTGACATGTTTCCATTTCACATAATGTTAGGTTTGGTTTGGTTTGTTGTTTAATGCCGCACTCAGCAATATTCCAGCTATATCACGGCGCTCTGTAAATAATTGAGTCTAGACCAGACAATCCAGTGATTAACATCATGAGCATCGATCCACGTAATTGAGAACAATGACATGCATCAATAAAGTCTGCGAGCCTGACCACCTGATCCCATTAGTCGCCTCTTACGACAAGCATAGTCACCTTTTACGGCAAGTTTGGGTTCCTGAAGACCTATTCTACCCCGGATCTTGATTGCTTGCTTGATTGCTTGCTTGATTGCTTGATTGCTTGATTGCTTGATTGCTTGATGTAGCATAGGAATAGGATAGCTCAAGGTTCATGTAGACTTGTATAAGTCTCTAAGGCAATAATTATTAGTTTAAATCATAATTACTAAATTATGTAAAGAATAAGAATAAGTTGTCTTTATTAGAGACTGGATTCCTTAGAGGTTGTACTGTCCACATATCTAGAGGAGTATAGAATTACTACATATCCATGGACTTTTCTTTGACAGTCTTGGAGCAAGGCTAAGCTTCATGTTGTCATGTAACAGAAAGCAGCTTCATTTTAAATGGAGACTCCGCCATGTGATTCATATCAACATGGAATAAGTTGCCTTTCCAAACTCAGCCCACATAGTTGAAAATATGTCTAGTTTGATGAGCGGTATGGTTGTAAAGTACAATAGAAATCTGTTTCACTTGTTACTTACCTGCTCATCTGATGATGCCGTCAGGGCCAGTATCCGTGGCAACGCATTTCGTGAGGATTCTACTATTGCATCATGGGTATCTGGGTTCTCCACAATGAGGCTGAGCGTGCAGAGCGCCAGGAGTGCCAGGGTGGGGGATTGGTACATACACAGTGTCAGCACTGGGTTCAGGGCGCCATCATCCAGGGCTGTCGGCAGCATAGATACAGGTCACTCATCTAGTCATGGGTTCATCTAGTCATGGAGTCTTACGTTCATCTAGTAAAGTGCTCAATTAGTCACGTGCTCCTGGAATCATCTTTATCTAGTCATAATGTTCATTTGGTCAAAGCCTTCATAGGATTTATCTAGTCTTGAATCTTGTCTTTGATCTATCTAGTCATCTTGTCATATAGTATTCATGTGGTCACCTGACACTTGTCTAGCCATAAGAGTCATTGTGTTCATCTAGTCAGCGTTCATCTAGTCCATGCATTCATCTAGTCAGCATTCATGTGGTCATAGTCTTCATTTAGTTATAGCGTTCATCTAGTCTGTTCATCTAGTCTAGGCGGTCATCTCGTCTGTTCATCTAGTCATAGCGTTCATCTAGTCTGTGCATCTAGTCAAAGCATTCATCTAGTCATAGTGTTCATCTAGTCTGTGCATCTAGTCAAAGCATTCATCTAGTCATAGCGTTCATCTAGTCTGTTCATCTAGTCATAGCCTTCATCTAGTTTGTTCAACTAGTAATAGCATTCATCTAGTCAGCATTCATGTGGTCATAGTCTTCATTTAGTTATAGCGTTCATCTAGTCTGTTCATCTAGTCTAGGCGGTCATCTCGTCTGTTCATCTAGTCATAGCGTTCATCTAGTCTGTGCATCTAGTCAAAGCATTCATCTAGTCATAGTGTTCATCTAGTCTGTGAAATCATCTAGTCATAGCGTTCATATCGTCTGTTCATCTAGTCATAGCGTTCATCTAGTCTGTGCATCTAGTCAAAGCATTCATCTCGTCATAGTGTTCATCTAGTCCATGAAATCATCTAGTCATAGCGTTCATCTCGTCTGTTCATCTAGTCATAGCGTTCATCTAGTCTGTGCATCTAGTCAAAGCATTCATCTAGTCATAGTGTTCATCTAGTCTGTGCATCTAGTCAATGCATTCATCTAGTCATAGCGTTCATCTCCTCTGTTCATCTAGTCATAGCGTTCATCTAGTCTGTGCATCTAGTCCATGCATTCATCTAGTCATAGCGTTCATCTAGTTTGTTCAACTAGTCATAGCATTCATCTAGTCGTAGAGTTCATCTTGTCAGTGTTCATCTAGTCCATGAAATCATCTAGTCATAGCGTTCATCTCGTCTGTTCATCTAGTCATAGCATTCATCTAGTCGTAGAGTTCATCTTGTCAGCGTTCATCTAGTCCATGAAATCATCTAGTGATAGTGTTCATCTAGTCTGTTCATCTAGTCATAGCGTTCATCTAGTCTGTTCATCTAGTCATAGTGTTCATCTAGTCCATGCATTCATCTAGTCAGCGTTCATGTGGTCATAGTGTTCATCTAGTCACTGCATTCATCTAGTCATAGCATTCATGTGATCATCAGGTTAAAGCGTCTGGTCATCGAATATGTACCATAAATGTCCCAAAGGAAATACTTACCCTTTTTCTTGAGTTCTGGTGATTTACAGAAGATCATGAGGGAGCTTATTCCATCAGTCAGAATCTGTTCCTCTGCTTCACGGAGTCGGGACAGGATGCTGTCAAGACAACTAGATGTCAATTAAAGTGACAGTCACATGCAACACTGTCAGCCGGGATCTTGACCAGGGATGTTATTTATGATAAATATTGATGATGAATACGTGACACCTTTTATGAATAGCACCTTGTCATGTATTCATGTCCTCTCAACTTCTAAATGACTATCAAGGACTTGATATTAGTGATGATATGTTATACAGCTTTATATTAGCCACAAGGATATGGGTGTAATTATTTTCACGAATTATCACTTGTTGAAGCTGATTGGATAGTTCGAGTCAAATGTTCAACAATGTTCATTACCGTATTCAACGTAATATGCGCCCTGGGCGCTCTTAAAATTAGAAATAGTGGGCTCCTAATTGAATATTATTTTGGTGAGAAAAAAAAGAGTTGAAAGATTTTAAATTTGGTTGTTTATGCTGACAGCCTGAAATGATACAAAAGAAAAGTTGGTGCGTATTATACACGACAGATAAATATTCCAGAATTTTATTGCCCATAATTAAGGGTCCATATAACACACGAATGCGTATAATACACGAATAAATATGTCTTGTGCACATTGATCAATCGGAAGGGGTGCTAATTGGGATTGTTCACTTGGCAATATATTACCAAATATTGCCGTGGGCGCTTATTACGTCGAATACGGTATTTGCAAAGCAGCCCAAAGCAGAATGTTGTCATGATGACACATTGTCTCAAATACTAAAGATGGCCTCGTCCATTGTTCATCACATCACAGACAGTGTTAAGTGACATCTTTTCAACTATTGGTTAACTGAGCTAATGTGTGAACTCGATATCTGGAAACCCACTTGTTTCTACACTTCCTCTACACTTATAAAAAGACATAGTAATATGTGTACATAGAATAACCTACTAGCAATTTGGGATTACCATGGCACGGGACTTATAAAACTGTTTCACGAGGGACAGATAATTACTTGTAGCTTGTAGGGTTTTCTCCAAGTTGGCAATATTGATATACGTGTATCAGTTTCTTGTGCCCCTAGATTTGTTATGATGCACAGAACAAGTAAGTAGTCATTGCTATATGCCAGGATGACAGCGACCTTGTACTAGATACCTGCAGATGACCTTGATTGCACCAGCAGTGGCCAGTTCCTGATGAAGTGGTTGGTGGGTGGCCAGTGCCTGGAGACCCGACATCACCGATCTCTGAAACACACAGACCGACATCACACATCTCTGAAACACACAGACTGATATCATACATCTCTGAAACACACAGACTGTCATCACACATCTCTGAAACACACAGACTGACATCACACATCTCTGAAACACACAGACTGTCATCACACATCCCTGAAACACACAGACTGACATCACACATCTCTGAAACACACAGACTGACATCACCAATCTCTGAAACACACAGACTGACATCACACATCTCTGAAAAACACAGACTGACATCACACATCTCTGAAACACACAGACTGACATCACACTTCTCTGAAACACACAGACTGACATCACACATCTCTGAAACACACAGACTGACATCACACTTCTCTGAAACACACAGACTGACACCAGCTCTGGAAACCTACTTCTCACCATTGTATTGTTCAGTGAACTTGCCACTTGGGGTATTTGGGTGCATCCATTACAGTTTATTGTAGCTTATGTTAAATGACAGATAATTTATCCACAAAGTAATATTTTGTGAGGGGTGTATAACACCCATGGTACGTATAGATCGATACTAGGGCTATGACGGGTAACTCGGGTACTCGTGTCGGGTGGGTACTGAGTAGGACCCGGGTTACCACAGGACTACTTGGACCCGTGGTTAATCACGTGATACATTGTTTAATGACAAAAACTCAATATAGCTCAGTGGTTACTCTTCAAGTTGCTAATGTTCACATTTCTTTCTGACGATGCACACATTCCTTTTGACTTGTATATGTTTGAGTAAAGATAAAGCTTCAGTCATCTTCAGTGAACGCATGGTCTGATCGTTTGATACATGTATGTAAACAGTTTTAGTCAGGGCTGCGGTAAAACAATTACCAATCAGACATTTTGTTCCCAACTCTTGAAACTTGCAGTGGGTACCCGGGTAGGCTCGGGTAGGGGGTCGGGTACCCGGGTAGTAAATTTGGACTCGTCCCAGCCCTAATGCATACAGAGGGGACCCTCGGTCCCACCTTTGAAAATCAAATGTGATGTATGTGAGACACTGATATTATGTATTCATTTCTACTTTGAGATCTGTGAACAGTTAGATTACCAGTTATGATGTAAAGACACATTGTGATCAGACCAAAGCCATATAGACACGATCAACGAAACACTCCAACAAACATCGGCCACTGCATACCAGGTGCTGGTGAAAACAACCCTTCCAAATTACGCAAAACATTTTCAACAAACAGTCTGTTATTTTACCCGTGGCAACATAAACATTTTTCACTTCAAGTCACAAAACCTTCATAAAATCGATAGAAATGTTGATAACAAATGTTTGAAAAGGTGTTATCTCAAATGTTTGCTTTGTTAAGGAAGGTAACATTGAGAATATTTATCAAGTTATAAAACTTCCTTCCTTCAGCTACATACCATTGAACGATATGAAGTACTCTGTAAGCTGGTACCCCCTGACATCAGATACTCACCAGGATCTGGACATTTTCGGTCTGTGCCAACACAATGAGAGTCTGGATGCCGCCCAGCTCCACCACCTGCAAAAAGAGGGAGTATGTAGCAGTGGGAAGAACATATTTGGAAAATATCTGTCGACGCCCAGTTGACAGTACACATGCTTTGCAATTCTTGCAGTCCACCAAAATCGATCCAATTTTGATTGGACTATGCAGAGACTCGTTGGTCAGCCAAAATATAACTCCTGAATTCCAGCCTAGGAAACCAGACTTTTAATCTCAGTTAACTTCCTTGCCTGGGGAAGATGCGTGCGTGCGGTGCGTGCGGAGCTTATGTGCGTGCGTGCGTGCATGCGTGCATGCATGCGTGTGTGTGTGAGTGTGTGGGGTGTATGCAGTGTGTGTGCAGTGTGTGTGGTGGAGGGGGTATGTGTGTGTGTATGGGGGGGGGGGGGGAGTAGTGGTGTAGTGTGTTTGTAGTGTATGGTATGTTTGTGTGTGGGTGTGGGTGAGGGTGTGTGAGGGTTTTGGTGTAAGTGTTGGTATAGTGTGGTGTGATGTGGTTATAGTGTACGGTATGTATGTGTATGTGGGGTGGGGGTGGGGGGAAGTGGAGGTGGTGGTGGGTGTGGGTGTGACATATGGTGTGTGTGTGTGTGTGTGTGTGTGTGTGTGTGTGTGTGTGTGTGTGTGTGTGTGTGTGTGTGTGTGTGTGTGTGGTGTTGGTTTGTTGCCATGGAAACATGTGTCATAGTATTCAGCAATGACACCATGTACACCTCTCCTCTGCCTAAGTACACATAGAGAGAGAGTGCTGCAGAAAAGTACCGACAATGTTTTGTATTTAGAATATTGATAAATATTATGTGTCTTCAGTTTAGCAATTAACATTCAGATACTTAGTAAATTCTCAGTAATAATCTGAGAACACATAATGTTTGTCTCCTAACTGAGAATACATTTCATTTGAGGGTTCAACTGAGGACATTTTGTGGAGATTATGTATAATTGAATTACCCTTTTAATGGAATTATGATTCTTGCATCTTTCAGTGAGACCATCAGCAGATTCCACTTGAAATTGCTGAAACAATAATAATCCTTAAAACAACAGTTTGCATACGAAAAACACATGAATCACTAGTGAATTTAACAGAGAAGTTTGAAAGTAAACCATGTCCACTGCAGATGACTCACATGCATTTGGGACCTGGCCTTGGTGATGAGCTGTGTGACAGGAGCACACGCGTCACACACGCGCTCAGCATCCTCGATACCAAGCTGCGGCAGCGGCATCTGTACACAACAAACAATTGTATTCCCACTGGCTTCGATGTAACGCAAATGGCAAAGTTCAATTCACTAAATTAAATATTTTATTTTGATTTGAAGGAAAATTATAATCCACTATACTGCATGTATAACAAGTAGTACTGTACAAACAGAAATAATTAAATACTTACTTACTTACTCCTGTGTGTGAGTAGGCTACACATATCTATTGTGAGTTTGGTGTTCACATAATTTCTGTTTTTGTATTGATATGATTTCTATTTTCTTATATTGATATGATTTCATTTTTATCCTTGGCTGCTCTGTTTATATACGTTCGAGTAGCTGTCCATCTCTCAGAAATAGAGTTAGTTTGGCCTTGGCTATTGCATCTCTTGGCTTTAGGAGATCTATGACAGATAGCGGATCTAACTGCAATTCTTGTTTTAACCTAGCCTGGGCTGGGGCGTGGTCTTGACATTCTAGTATCACGTGATCAATGGTTTCAGCCTGATTGCAAGATGAACAAACCTTGTCATAGTGCTTTTTGTGACCAAGTCTGAGGCATGAGATAGCAATTTCAATTTTCCTTCCACACAGCAGGAACATGCTGATGTTTATACATACTGACTGTTTGTATACCATGTTATGTGCACTAAGTAAAATGCAAGATGGGAAATATATATTAAACAAAACCTAGTGGGAGACAGGTGTTAGTGGGAGACAGGTGTTAGTGGGAGACGGGTGTTAGTGGGAGACGGGTGTTAGTGGGAGATGGGTGTTAGTGGGAGATGGGTGTTAGTGGGAGACGGGTGTTAGTGGGAGATGGGTGTTAGTGGGAGATGGGTGTTAGTGGGAGACGGGTGTTAGTGGGAGACGGGTGTTAGTGGGAGACGGGTGTTAGTGGGAGACGGGTGATAGTGGGAGACGGGTGTTAGTGGGAGACGGGTGTTAGTGGGAGATGGGTGTTAGTGGGAGACGGGTGTTAGTGGGAGACGGGTGTTAGTGGGAGACGGGTGTTAGTGGGAGACGGGTGTTAGTGGGGAGACGGGTGTTAGTGGGAGACGGGTGTTAGTGGGAGACGGGTGTTAGTGGGAGTCAGGTGTTAGTGGGAGTCAGGTGTTAGTGGGAGACGGGTGTTAGTGGGAGACGGGTGTTAGTGGGAGAAGGGTGTTAGTGGGAGACGGGTGTTAGTGGGAGACGGGTGTTAGTGGGAGACGGGTGTTAGTGGGAGACGGGTGTTAGCGGGAAATAATTTACCTACCCTCTCCTTGCAACATTTATTACAAAGCACAAGTCCACACTGTCGGCAGTGATGTTTGCGGCGTATTTGGTTGAATTTGTTGTTACAGAGGATGCAGGTAGACACCTGTTTGTCTTCAACCCACCTGTTAACATTTACAAAAAACATTACGTAGTTACTGCATGTTGGATACCTAAAATACCAAAATGATCTTGTCAGTGTTTTGAGACAAGTGTCAGTGAGAGAGAGAGAGAGAGAGAGAGGCCATGAAAAAATGACAGTTCTATTTTGTATAGAAATATGATACAGTCCTAAGACCCAATCTCACACATACCCTAAATATTCAGTGACCAGTTTTTAACTTGGGAATTTATTTGTTTCTACAGACCTAAAATAAGAATAAATATAATATCAATTTCACCTTCAGTATTTAAATTCATACATACAAGTAGATGTTACTAGCTAACATAAATACAGAATATATTTGTGAGGAATCATATTTTCTATACATCTATTACTTATAATAATAATCTGAATAAGCTTCACTCAATAACATGTAAATACCTGTACTTTGCATGCATAACTTGTTTGTGTGTGTTATTACTTGTCCACCCATTTCTCAACTGATGGTTCACATGTTACCTGTAACCACTTGGAACTCAAAGCTCAATAATGTTATATTTTTTCGTTTTTGGATACAATCAACCAACAGCTACAAACTAATACAAACTTAAAGTAACTAATTATTATTTGAATAATAACTGTAAATGAAGTGTAAAAGTCCATCTTTCAATGTAAATAAATCGTTATCAGAAGTAAATACGTGTTAAGGTTAATGTACAGAGTGTACAGAGTATTTGCATTTATCTTTATTTTTGTTTCACAAAACCAACGGACACAAACAACTACAAAAAATATAATTAAATAATTAACTATACGATTTCATTTTTATTCATATTTCGAACGACTGATTACTTTACCCACACACCTTAAAAAAAAGAGAAAAAAAATGGTCTAATTAGGACTCTCCTACCTTGCTTTTGTCAGAATGAACCTTGGTGATTGGTAGACATCCGCTGGCCCGTCTACTCGGGCTGGGTAGACATCCTGCCCTTCTAGCTTGATGCGACATCCCAGCAGGGCCATGGCGTGACAGTAACACCCACACTTACTTAGATCAATCCGATTGTCTCTTGTATCAAACACAACATATCCTCCCTTCCTCGCTTCAGTAACAACATGGATCTTCGTGGGCCTGTATAATTATTGTCGGCCTTGGACGATGTTGGCTTGTGGAAGATTTAATGACGAACTTTTTATGTCAACAGTTTCCTCGGCTAGTGGTTATTCCGATCTTTGCACTGTTGAAAGTCAGACAATGGTCCGTTTGGACCTGTTAGTGATGAGCTGGGATGTGATAACAGATATCTGTCGGTGACACAACTCACATGGTTGTGAAGATGAGAGGGGGCGTGTCAAAAGCTTCACGCGAAAAAGAGAGTTGTCTCCCTTTAATTTACGTTCTCGCATGACCGTTGGCGCCAGTATTGGCACATCAAGCTATGATGTTCGTGATCACAGCTCAGGTCATGTTTATACGCTTACTCATTTCATTCGCTGTTGTGTTCATTGAGTTATACATGTCACAACCGTTATCACCCCAACACATATGAATAGATCTGTATGAAGGCTAACTGATATTAATGCATTCTTTTGTGAACATGTTGAATGTAGTCGCTTGTAAACGTTTTGATCAGCCCAGAATTGATTGCGTCCTGCTTATATTGGTGGGGTTTGGGCGTGTATACCCCGCTATACAGCTTCATGATGGTGTCATCTCGTAGTGTTTATACAAAAGGGCTGTGTCTGGGACGGGTAACTCGGGTCGGGTAGGACCCGGGTACCCACAGGACTACCCGGACCCGTGGTTAGTCATGTGATATATTGTTTCATGACAAAAAACTCACTTTAGCTCAGTGGTTACTCTACATGTTGCCAATGTTCGCATTTCTTTCTGACGATGCACACATTCCTTCTGGTTGGTTGGTTTGTTTGTTGTTTAACGCCGCACTCAGCAATATTCCAGCTAAATGACGGCGGTCTGTAAATAATCGAGTCTTGACCAGACAATCCAGTGATTGACATCATGAGCATCGATCCACGCAATTGGGATCGATGACATGCATCAACCAAGTCAGCGAGCCTGACCACCCGATCCCGTTAGTCGCCTTTTACGACAAGCATAGTCGCCTTTTATGGCAAGCATGGGTTGCTGAAGACCTATTCTACCCCGGATCTTCACGGATCCATTCCTTCTGCATGACTTGCATATGTTTGAGTAAAGATAACGCTTCAACTTACGTGTACGCATGGTCTGATCGTTTGATACATGTATGTAAGTCTTTTAGTCAGGGCTGCGGTAAAACAATTCCCAATCAGACATTTTGTTCCCAACTCTTGAGACCTACAGTGGGTACCCGGGTAGGGTCGGGTTATAGGGGGTCGGATTCCCGGGTAGTAAATTTGGACTCGTCCCAGCCCTACTGTCTATAGACGTGTGTAGTGTACACGGATATAGCTTTGTTAAATAGGAGGGTTGCATTTAGTGATCATAAGTTGACATTCAAGTGCTATAATAGACGAATATAATTGTCATGTTATGAATATCATCAAATGACTTATAGTTAAAGTGTTGTAATACGTTTAGGCTTATTCTTGTACACCCTATCATCCACATCACATCCATGAACCGTGAAGGGGTAGAATAGGTCTTCAGCAACCCATGTTTTAGTCATAAAAGGCGACTATGCTCGTCATAAGAGGCGGCTATCGGGATCGGGTTGTCAGCTTCGCTAACTTGGTTGATGCATGTCATCGTATCCCAATAACATGGATCGATGCTCATGATGTCAATCACTGAATTGTCTGGTCCACACTCGATTATTTACAGACTGCTGTCATATAGCTGGAATATTGCGGCGTTAAACAACAAACAAACTTCCAGACGTATACATATTTAGTATGGTAAGGAGGTGAGGTGAATTGGGTTTAACCCTCTGGATGCCGAGGTTTTTTTCTGACGCACATTTTCCTTAGATCGGAAAAGTGAAGATTGTGCGAGAATTGCGCTCACGCGGCACTGGATCTACATGTACCTCTGGCTATAACATTACGCAGAGGTGGAGAATATTAAATTTCCTATTTGATGATGTAAAGGTAACTGCAAATATTAAATCGGTTTAAAAAAAATACACTTCTAAGTGATGTCCGATGTCTGCGTTGAAAAACATTAAATGTCTCCGCTTTTTATCGTACACCGATAAAAGTACTGTGCGACGTTTTTTTTTATTTAGAGGCTTTACGGAAACTGTGAGCTAACAAAATTCTGCCAAATATCTGAACGACATAACTATATATCAAATGGAGTTATATGCGTATGTATAACGACATACATTCAATGCCAAAAATAGCATGCCGTAAATGATGAAAACTGATTTTTCTCTATGACGTCAAAAGGCGACAGAGAGGTTACACACGTACAAAGAAAAGGGGGCATAACTCCGCTATGCTTAGCACTAGTTTATTGTAACTCAAGTCACTTGGTGAGAATTAGCTTGGGGTAAGGATAATATATTTTCGTGGTGTTTTGTTCACGAGGAACCAAACTATTCCAACACAAATATCGATATTGAAACTGTATACGTTTAATTATAAAAAAAACCCATAAGAAATGATGAAATCGTACTTTATAAAAAAGAGGTAATAGAGAAATGGATGGCCCAATCTAACCTATAACTTAGTCCTTAGATTCCAACATTCTCCTGAATGTGTAAGTGTAATTTGACTAATGTTGCACCATTATTAATGGAGCACTAGCCTTATCATCAAATGTAATGAAATACCCAAAACATAACACCATTCTATTTGACGTCATGGCTGGTTTTATGGCTTTGATAACGTCGGAGAAAGACGACACTAGTATTTTGATTAATATATATCTCCCCTAATTTTCGTTCATGGTATGGAAAATCTCGATGTGTAAAACGGAATTTGACGCTTTTTCGACACAACATAAAATGACTGCTTTCACCATGTAAATAATGTCTTGGATAGGTAAACAATGAGATAGTTTATCGTGTATCTTAATTGGACAAGACACGCACCTGTTTGGCATCAATTTACGTAATGAAATACCCCAAAGTATATTTAAAAAAAACCAAAATTATATTCAATATTGGACACATATTTGTTCATTACTATGTTATTATTTCTCTTCATCTCGTCTCAGAAATACACAATAAAAGATGCGAAGAAAGCTCTATTGGTATAGAATTATCAGGATAATCGTTTAAGGTTGAACCAACGGGGTACCTGGCATGGCTTTTATTTTTATACATTTTACAATTCCTGGAGAAATAAAGTAAACAATTTAATATCCTGTGATCACAACATTGAAAAAAAGAATGAACCCATTGATTATATAATGCAAAACGAGAGGAATAATTCGTAAATTGTTTGTGACTAACGCGCACCTGGCGAATTGTTAGATATCACTGTTCTGTGTATGAAACGACATAAAAAATCAATTCCAAGACCAAGACAATATTTTCAGAAATGTGTGCATATATTTTAACGAAAAATATTAACCATTTTGTTAAAGTAATATATTCAGTTTTAGTTATAAAATAAAATGAAACAGCTATTCAAGGACATTGGTTATATGAACTTATAATATTGACAACTACACATCCCAAGAAATACGTACATGCAGCAGTTACATTTACACTTCATCTTGTAACACTTGTCCAAAGGAAAGAAATATCGTATTCGACACTGAAAACCTATCAATTGTTATGTAAACAATGTTCAAACAAACAGGAGATTATCAAAGGTTCGTTCATACATGTTCCGGCCTATATTTACGTATGATATCATTTTGAAGATTAACAGATATCCAAAGTTAAATTAATTGTGTGAAAAAACAATTTCTGTTGAAAATATCAAATCATTGCAATGTATCTATTTTAAATTCCCTAATTCTTCCTACGATTCTGCTTGTACTAGTCCGGACTGATGCCGATTTATAGTGCTAGCACACTGAGATACCATGCCGCAGTTTAACATGAATATCTCACTCAGACACAGTATACTGACTCCGAGCCGACCAGTCCTTGTTTTAGCCCCTTAATGCAGACAGGGTAACAACAAGTACCATCTTTTAACGTCTTTTGGTGTGACGCGGCCGGGGATCGAACCCCGGACCTTCCGCCCTCCGGGCGGACGCTCTACCTCTAGACCACAGAGGCGGTCAGTATGGTTATGAAAATTGTTATTGTACACATAAGTAGGCACACAAGCAAGCACATACGCACATACACACACAAGCACGCACGCACAAAGGCGTGCATGCACGTCGCTATATAAGTGCAATAATCTTTCTTGAACGCGACGTTAACCCCATTTCACATCACCTCACCGTAACGGAATCAGTATCTGCTCTTTTCAATATCGAGATTTGTACTCAAGTAGAGGTCGTGCTCAACTGAGCTCAGACACAATCATTAAACTGTGAAAACCGCATCTGATTAGTCCCCTGCGAAAATCCATTTGCACCAGATAAGATTCAACAATTCAGTTTACCCACGTGTGTCTTGAGAAACAAACAAACACAAAATTAGTTATGCAAAACGACGCGAAATAGCGCATTCTTTTTACGTGACGTCATATTGGATTATTCATACCTCACAATGACGTCATCACATCACGATGTATGACGTCATTCTTGTTCATGCTTTTAGGCTAAGAAGGGAAGATGGCCAGCTTACGTTTCATGATTGCAGTATTAGCATTTTCTATTTTTACCCTCGTTGGGTTTTCCATTGGCTTGTTAGTTGCCGATTTTTCCGACTCAAAGATGGAATCTGATACAGTCGGTGTTTCGTCTGTTTTTATTGTAATGGCGGCGCTGCAGATTGGTTTCGCCGTTTTCATCATAAAGAAAAGAAGCACATTTGGTTCGAGCTCGTTGGAACTACAAATAAGTGATATACTTGTCACGGAGTCGGGTAGTCCCCATGATGATGTGGCAGCGACACAAGTAAAGGTAAGGCTGGACACCTGTGGCGATTTCAGGTCAATTCACGTGGTTAATGATAATAGACCCGTGAAGATCCGGGGTAGAATAGGTCTTCAGCAACCCATGCTTGTCGTAAAATGCGATCATGCTTGTCGTAAGAGGCGACTAACGGGATCGGATGGTCAGGCTCGCTGACTTGGTTGATGCATGTCATCGATCCCAATTGCGTGGATCGATGCTCATGATGTCAATCACTGGATTGTCTGGTCCAGACTCGATTATTTACAGACCGCCGTCATATAGCTGGAATATTGCTGATTGCGACGTTAACAACAAACAAACAAACAAACAAATTGATAATTTTAAAACTTGATGTCTTCAGTTTTCTAATTCAGGAAATTCACTTGCTTTTTCCTACTTGTGGAACAAGTTTTATAGTGAAACAGAGAGGTTTTGCTCAATATTGGAAATATTATGTAATGTACTCAGTCTCAGACACAAATACGGAAAAGCAAACAGCATTACATACCCTACTAAATATTTCTCTGGAAAGGG